CCAGAGCGGCCTGGCTACCATGGAAAAGAGTCATCATAACGTGATTTTTAATTTTACGCGCAGCGGGGGGAAGCTGATTTTTTTATGTTAGGAGGGACGGGAGATGAATTAAGTTTGGTTTTTATTAATTTGTGCCCCCCCCCCCCCCCCCCCTGCTCTTCATTTTTCGCCATGTAAAATCAAAAAACTACAGGATTATTTTCAATGGCAGTAACTAACCTTAACGGAGTAGGTTAAACCACTTTGCTATGGTCAAGGCCGCATTGGTTGATGGCACGGTGTGTCCGCGTAGAAAGTAAGTATTGTTAATAGTTGTTGGGTAAGTTAACTAGTTAGTTAGTTGCTCCGTCGATCTCAAGAAGATAGCACGGACATTGTAATTGATTACGCTGAATTGGGCCTTGCTTTGCTCCACTCCGCGCCTTTCCTGAGCATTGGTGACGATTAGAGTTGTTTTAGTGCCCGAACTGAAAACAAACGGATCAACGGGCCATTGTCTGGCATTAAGAGTGGTTGTCTGGGGGAAGATTGGCCCAATGACGGTCTTTGACTGAACTGCGTTGCTTGCCACATAAATCACTCGTTTTCATTCACGGTCTTCGCTGGTGGCCTCTTAAATAGTTAATCCCTAACCCCCCGCCAAACTTCCCCCGCTTTCAACTTACAACGCACCCCTTTCTCCAAATCTCTCTTTGATCAACAAACCCCCCACCATCCACGTCTACCAGTGGTTAAGTTTCCTTGGAAGTCGCTCTATTCCAAATCCAAAAAGAAGAACCTCTACTCTCAAGTACTTTTCAAAACAAACTGTCGCCAATATGACTAAGGTACGACAGCCATCCAACATGTCCCAACTCCACCAAAGCTACCATCCCCTATCTGTTTTCATGCAACGCAGGATTACGGATTCTGTACCTTTAGTACCGCCATTGCTCTGGTTAACTACAAGTTAAGTGTTGTCATCGTTGCTGACTCCTTATGTTCTGCCTGTAGATCACCACCCTATTGTTCGACTGCGACAACACCCTTGTCCTTTCAGAGGAACTCGCATTCGAAGCATGTGCAGACATCGCCAACGAGATTCTTGAAAAGCAAGGCCTCTCTGCCCGCTACACTGGCTCCCAGCTCATCGTCGACTTTGTGGGCCAGAACTTCCGCGGAATGATGGGTGCACTGCAGTCAAAATACAACTTCAAACTTCCTCAAGATGAGCTCGAAGGCTACGTCAAGGAAGAAGAAAACCGCGTCATCGCCAAGCTGGAGGCTAAAGCACGAGCCTGCGAAGGCGCCACGGAAGAATTGGCCAAGCTGGCTGCTTCAAAGAAATACGAATTGGCGGTTGTTTCATCTTCCGCTCTTCGTCGTGTGAGGGCTTCGATCAAGAAAGTTGACCAGGAGCGCTTCTTCAACCATGACCACGTTTTCAGTGCTGCTACCTCTCTTCCTACCCCAACTACCAAACCTGACCCTGCCATCTATCTACACGCTCTTAAAGTGCTTGACAAGGCTCCTGGCGAGTGCATTGCTGTGGAGGACAGCAAAAGTGGTACTTTGAGTGCAATCCGCTCTGAAATCCCCGTCATCGCGTACGTGGGCTGCTACGAGGGAAAACAGAAGCAGGAGGAGATGGGGAAGACTCTGGTCGACCTCGGTGCCAAAGTTGTTATGAAGCACTGGTCTGAATTTGAAAAGTGTGTTGCTGAGATCGAGGCGTATTGATCGGAAGCATGACTTGTCAATAATCCTCTACACTTATCTTCGCGTTCTTCACTCCAGCTATTGCTTCTTTCTTTCTATTCTATTTTATTTTATTTGTTCCTGCAACGAATTCACGAGGAAAACCGGAATCACTTGAAAGCAATGGTCGTCTGGAGCGAAATTTGCGCGCTTTATACTTGAATTTTTCTTCTCTCTTCATTTCTTTGCTTCATTTTCAACTACCCTTGGTATTACACCAACAGAACCCCATCTTTAGCAGGTTTCACTTTCCTTACGCGTGGCCTATTCAAAAGGGCCGCATATTTCTGACGAAGACGACCTACTAGATGCTTTCGCTTCTTCTTTTGTTCTGCCAACATCTGGGCATCTGCATTAAATAGAATTAAAGACGAATACCCCTAGAAATACCCACTTCCCTGTTCTCTGCACCATAGACAGCTCACATGTATGAATGTGATACCCCGAAAAAACCGTGGCCGCGTTTTCTATTGCTTTTAGTTTTATGCGATCATACGCCCCTGTTACACAGACTCGACACAGCTAATATCTTTTATGACATGAAAGGGAGTGGATGCGTTTTCTCACGGACTGTGTTTCACACCTAGTTACCCTTCTTTTACTCCTTTTTACAACTTCCACGTTGAAATTTGTCCTTAGAAAAAAGAAGCTATAAAAAAAATGGAACGGAAATCAATATTAGACATTGCCTTACCTTATTCATGTGTGACTGACCTTTTAGTTACTCGATTCAGCCTATGCTTTGTAAAAAGAGGGACTTGGTTTGAGCAGTGACTATTTTTAACATTTCCTTTGATGCCTTGGGATAATTAACCTTCTCCAACAGAACTTGAACCTGATATGTACATAATTTTGTAGTCACTTAGGGAGCTATATAAGAACCCTCAAAATGTCAATCGTACCCTATACTTACGAAGCAGCAGCACATCGACATACCGATTATTATGGCTCCCTACCCACCAAAGGAGATGGATCACTAAAGGTCAGCCAGGTAACTAACTGTCAACTATCCGCTCCTTTTCCAATATCTACAGCTTCATGCATTCAAAAATTAAGACGATAGAAATAGATATATCCTTTCATTCCCCACTCCGCCTTGCCAAGGTCTATCCCAAACCTCCCCTTTCCCACTCCAACCCAGACACTTATCCACATCCCCATCCCCATCCCCATCCTTACCCTCTGCGTCTTTCGCCCTCCGCCATCCCAGCCCCAACAGCAACCCCTGCCCCTCAAATATCTTCCTCAATTCACGATCCCCCATCCTCTCCGCCCCGACAGCCAAAAACTTACCACGGACCTCACACAGCTCGCTTCCAGCCAACAAACCCACCGTCCCCTCAATACTGCACGGGTTATGAGGGAGTGTTTCAGACATCCACATCTTCCACACTGCTAGGAAACCACACCCTTTGGCCCGTGTATGAAGAAGAAGAAGAAGAAGAAGAAGACGCCATATGATCCTTTGCCATTCGGTCTTGTATCTGTGAGTGTTCTGCGCAGGCGGGACTCCAAAGTTCTGGAGAGAATATGTTTTATCACGAAAGGGGGAATGAGGCAATCTCCTCCGTGGCATTGTTTAATAACTTTACCAACCATCTGTCATTCGTCTTAGATGGGTGGGTCGGGTCGATGAGGCTAGAGTTTGTATCTCCTACAAAGGTTACATCGGTTGGGACTTCTTAGATATGCTGATCACGTAACGCAGCAGAGATATTGTCTAACAACGTGAGGTTGTCACGCATGCAGCCAAATGTAATTCCAAGGGATAGGCATCAGAATGAGTTCTTATACGCCCTGTTTATCCAATAGCTCGTTTGGATTTCCAGTTTGCTTGGAACAGTGCAGGTCGGATAGCAAAGCCACATAGCCTCCAGCTCCAAGGGATCGGTCATGGCTTGTGTGCTACGTAAGTCGAAACTCAGGGATCGTCGAGTTTGGGTGTTTGTCCGAGAACGCGTATTGGAGGCAGCGTAGGAAACGCGTTAACTGTAGGAGCAGTAGTAGTAGTAGTAGTAGAAGTAGTAGTAGTAGTAGTAGCCAGGGATGGGGCTCCAGAAGGCTCACCCAGCCTGTAAGAACTAGATTGCTTGATATCATCTGCTGTGAGCATTGTACAGTTCAACGCAGATCTTAGCGTCGGAAGTGTAAAAGTATATGCAGAAGAGTTCTGGGTGGTGTCTTGGTCTTGATTGGAAGAGATATTAAAAAGGGCGTTGTCTGTGTCTACCTAGATCTTATGAATACAAGCTCGTTCCGCGTCCATGTAAGGGATTCTCAGGTTATGAATTCATTAAGACTCAATAGCAAACCCGTGTTACCGTGTTACCGTGTTACCGTCATCCACAACATAACTTTCCACTGTCGTGTTTCAATTGTCTGTTCTAGCAGCGACCGCAGAATGTGACGGGGCCATGTTTAAATCTGAATTCCATAGGCCGGAAGCAACAACTGTTGAAAGGCCTACCGCAAATGCTGCGGTGGCAGATGACGCGGCACCGATATGGTATTCTCGTACTGCTTCCCAAAGGTGTGAGCATTGCAATCGTGAAGTCAAGATTGCTATAGAGTGTTGCAATGCCAACAAAACGAGGACGGAAAAATGCTGGTGTGAATATTTCTTTTGTTCCGTTTGGATGACCACCAGCCCGATATTCTGATTTAATAGCAGATGTATCACCTCAAGGGCAGCAACAGCCAGAAGCGGCATAAAATATGCGAGCGTGAGGATAGACTTTCTTGCCGCAAATGGCTTCCAGGATCGGCCTGCTGTGGTGACTTGCTCATTCGCACACTCGCAACTTTCTGCCCCAAGGTCATGATGGGCGTTAATCGTGAACGATCGGCAAGTCGACGTTCTGAATGTATACTCTTGAAGTCTCTTCCGGATACCAGAATCCGGAAAATGGCCAGAGTCCAGCAGACACGGTAACAAAGCTTGCAGACATCACCTAGGGAGAAGATACCCTCACATCAGACGATTTTAGGTAATAGAAGACTGTCCCATTGACGCTCTGAGATGTTGGTATGATGAAGTTCTGCAGGGCAAATTGGGATGCAATACCACTATAAACCTGTTGGAATACTTCTCTCAACAGCTTCGCCGTCATCGAGAAATTTGTCAGGCGTGGCGCCTCTGGCTGCAACCCCGAAGCATTTATTGTAATAATGTAATTGTTTCGCGTCCGATTTCGAGTCCGAAGTAAACAAAAATCGAAACCGGGACAGTTTATATAGATATATCGACCCGCAGCGAGGGGCAATTGCTTCATTGAGTGCCGAGCTCGTTACGATTTCAAGAATCAAACAGTGAACCGGCTGAACCGGCTAAACAAGGTAAGATATAAACATAAGACGTTTTATCGTCTATTGCTCCGTAGGCTTAATATGATTATAAGCCTTTGTCGAATGCTTGGAAAATTTTTAGCCCATACAACACATTGCTTCCACACCTACAACAACAACAACAACAAAAAAAAAATATTACTCTATGAAGCAGTGAACATTTTTGACGACAAACGAGATCTCTTTTGTGGAAATATAGTGTTAAACAGCTGTGACAAATCCCATTCTCAGTTGGCCACAGTTGGCCAAAAAAGGTCCTCTATCGGAGAGTACAGAATGAAAGTCTTCAAAAATCCTGCGAGTTGCCCATGGCCAATGTGGACGCCATGGGTTTTCCTGCGGTATATATCGAGTCATAAGCTGCATTGATGGAGGTGACCAGGAGATATAAGAGAGATGGAGTTTATATAACAATGACATATTCGATTTCGGCGATCGTAGCATTTTATGCTTTGAGAATAGGATCATATAAGCGCATTGGGTCTTGCCGAGTGCCATCAATAAATCCCCCTGTCACCGTAGGGAAATAGGATGTCTCGTAAAGCTCTGCAGAGCGGTTTGGTGCAGTCAAACCATGGAAGAAATTCTTTCATCAAGATACGCTCAAAACCGCCCATCTTGAATGTTGCCTCGCCTGCTATTGGCAATTTCCTCGTAGTTGCCCAGCGTAACATCCCTTTTAACATAATACACTGGCTGTGGGCTTATTATCCTGTACGTAATGTAACTTATGTGGTTGATTTACTTAGTATGTGTGTTGAGTTGGTTTCAGTCACGTTAGTTAACGCAGAACCTTGGAACGGATTCACCGTCTTGTTGTTATTCACCCATTGACAATATCCAGCTGTATGTACCCTTTGGCAATGAGGGCCAGTTAATTGACCGGAGCTTAAAAGTCTTTTGTATCGTGCGAAATCAATTAGTTTGCACAGGGAACAATGCCCTCCGAGTCGTCTCCCAAAAAACTATCCAAAGAGAGTCTTCTTTCAACGGAGCCACTTGTACGTTTGAAGCACCCCTAAAGCACCCCCTCAGCTGGTGTTTTGTGTTATGGATATCTACTTCGATGTACCGTGATTCGATGTGTGCATCTCTTTCGACTGCTCTTCATCTTAAGTGCCAGAAGGCTTTTTGAAGCAAGAAGTTTTACATTCCGGGCTATTCAATCTCCAGTCCAGGGACTTAATCAGCCTCTTTTTGATGTATCATTCGCCCATAATAGATTTGGTGAATAGTTGCATAGATGGTTCAACGATTTGCAGAATGTGTCAATCTCCTTGCTGACATTTTTCCTTCGTGCAGAATCCGACAGAGGCACAATGGATTCGGCTGATTAAATCGACATATACGGATCCAAACGGTGTGACGAGGACGTGGGAATCTGCCGAGAGACGGGTAAGGGGATTTTCTGTTTACATTCCTATATATCCCGGTTCTATTTCTGGAGAGTTGCTGTCTCCGGTTAACTTTTCTGTATTCTTTCGTTTTCACCCAATATCGAAAGTTGCTGTTATGAATGAATTTTTTGCTCTCTTCGTCGAACAATGTTTACAGAAGATCACAATGCGTGCGACATAACCCTGCACACAGCCTAGAGACATACTTTCGAACTTTCTTTCAAACCAACCCCTCATGGAATCTCCTTTCTAACAATTTATGATCAATTATAGACGAGGCCTAAAAACTGCCCCATCGATGGGGTTGGCATATTCACTGTTTTAGCCAAACCTTCAGGCCCAGAACTACTGCTACAGAAGCAGTATAGGCCGCCCATCGACAAGGTGGTCATTGAAGTTCCCGCTGGTCTTATTGATGAAGGCGAAACTCCCGAGGAATGCGCAGTCAGGGAACTTCGAGAGGAGACGGGGTATGTTGGCGTTGCGGAGGAGAAGAGTCCAATTATGTATAATGGTGAGTCACCAATGTCTCCTGGTTTTTTTTTCCTGCTCCTGATGCCAATGCACCTTTTCTATCAACAAGTATCATAGATCCGTTATGTGCTCCGTACGCTCCCTCAAATGGTTGTTAAAACCAAAAGCAAAATATGTCCTTAAAATAGAGTCTAACCATATGTCCAATTCCTTTCGTTTCTAACATCCGCCATAGACCCAGGCTTCTGCAACACAAATCTGAACATGGTCCATGTTCGCGTCGACATGTCTCTACCAGCGAACCAGGACCCGAAGCCCCAACTGGAAGACAACGAATTCATCGAGTGCTTTAGTATCCCGCTCGCCTCGTTATATGAGGAGATTAAACGCCTTGAAGGGGAAGGTTATGCGATTGATGCCCGAGTTGGTACGTTGGCGGAGGGCCTGGAGGTGGGAAAGAAGTTGGGTTTAGGGCTTGGGCTTTAAAGGCTCAAAGCCTAAGGGGTCGGGTGAGTCTATTCATTGGAATTACCCTTGCATTTATAATCTTTCAGATTCTTCCGGGCGGGCGAGAATTGACATGCAACATAGACGATGGTCTTTTTAAGGGTTATTGGAAGTTGGCTGCTCCAAAGTTTTGTTGACTGGACTGCATCATCTGCATGAGTTGGTTTTTGTTGCCCTAGCATGCATCGCCCTAAGTGATGGACAACAGATATCTATCATCCAATACTCCCTTTTCTTCTATGAATCTAAAATTCCACCCACAAAAAAGAAGACCTACCTGACTATTCATACATCCCAACACCCCACCTACAAAACCCCTTCCCTCTTCAAACCCTGGTACAATGCCCAGGCTGCCAGTGTCTTCCCATCCCTCCACGCCTCCCTCCACATCTCCTCCAACTTGACAACCATCAACGTAATCTTCTCCCCATACTTCCGCAATCCAGTCAATTTGCCCTGTAACCCTTCAATTTCCCTTCTAGCCATGCGCTTCTGACACAGGAAAAGCGGGATGAACTCATCGGAGCCGCCGGGGGATGGGTATACGCCCGTTTGCAGCTCTTCTCCATCACTATCTCCATTGTTATTGTCGCCAATACCTTTTCCTCCCCTCTGTTCGTGGCCACCTTTCCGTCCAGTTTTGGGTAGGCTATTCGTAAGCGCGGTTAGATCTACAAGTTCATCTTGTGGTATGACAAAGCCTGTCTCTTCTTGGATTTCCTTTGCAGCGCCGCCCGCGAATGTGCCGTTGTCATCCAGCATACCGGCTGGGATCTCGGGAAAGGCGAGAGAGCCGGCAGGAATGCGTGGTTGGATAGTTAAGATCGAATACTTTTCAGATTCAGATGTTTCGGGGATGTCGTTTGGTTGGAGGATTAACTAAGCAGCGTAAAGTTCATGGCGTAAGCTCGTGAAGGGAAGATAGTTCAGGGCAATGGAATAGAAGTGGGGCATGGGGGGGACTGCTGAAGTTCCAGGGCATGGGTAATTTAGTTTTGTTCATCACAAATAGAATCCATTCCGGACAGAATGATGTGTAAGTATATTCTCCTAGGTGCGAAGAAAATAGGACGTTCGGAGATTGCATAAGATCCGGACTCTGGACACTGACCAACACGCCAACGCTGCCTCCTCTTAAAAACACGCTTCCTGGTAGCCTCTCCCCATCGTCATTCGACACATCAGCCTTGAGTTTCACAAACCCCAATCGATTGCCGCCGAAGAAGTCCACGGCCTGGATCTGGATCTGGCGCAAGGTATAGGGTGCTCCGTGGAATTCGTGGAACGGATCGGCCTGTCTGGAGAGCGAATGCTGTAGTGTGGACAGCCATATCTTGAAGGCTGGGAAAGCAAGCAGCTGGGCCTGTGAAAGATCAGGCGTTAGGTGAACAGGCAATTGCGAGGCACTGTTTGAGATGGTGAACGTTGACATTATTCTGATGCGGAGTCCGCTGCCGAAACGCGTGGTGTGCGTCAACCGGGTACAGAGGATGTTGGGGATGAGTCTGGAACGCATGGCATGAATCACAAAGTATAGTTATTGTTACAATAGGTGCCGATGAGTGCAATAAACTCCTACACTTGCGTCTTCGGGACCGTTGGATAAGAGGATATAGAGAGACCTCGAGACCTTGAAGGTCAGGCACCTGCAACCCTAGGGCCGGGGTTAGTTTTGATGAATAGCAATATGACAGCATTACTTGTATTGCAACCTCCCTCCATCCATTTTGGTGAATGGACTGAGGAAAGGAAGGCTGAGATCAAGGCATTTATTTGATTATGGATTTTCCAGGGCGCTTCTATTTCATATTTGAGATCGCCAAAAAGCCATTTATTTAATTCCATATCCCAACCGACAACGTTCCTCTGATTTCCCCAAAGCGGCTTTTATAGTTTGACGCGATGACATCGCGTGAGTTTATGTCAACTAGAGTTACCAGGACCATGGCTTGAAAGCAGCAATGGTGCAGTCCCGCTGAAACCCACGGATGATTGGTCGTCAACCCACCACGGGCACCAACAAGATCAGATATCTCCGCACCACC